ACCACCAACAATAACAAAAATAATTCCACATGTTGACCACTAATTAACGAATTTCTGGCGGCCACATACTTGCAACACAACGTTCTACCGCAAATGCGAATAATAATTATCCCTGGGAAAAATCAAAATGATGAACACCATCACCAATCCAATCACAATCAACCTCAACAACATCATCATCGAAATTGTGGTGGTTATCGACGTCATGATGATGATGATGATGACCATCATTATCCTGATGCTACTGGACTGCTACTGCTTCTGTCGAACAAAAATATTTGTACGGCATGATATGAAATCTATGTTCAACCTTCCTCCGCCTTTGGCAAAAATCCTGACATCTATTTTTGTGGAAAAACCGTTCGGAAACTTTTCACATTGGTCGGATGTTTATCTGTTCGAATTGGGTCGAAATTATGTCAATTGAAAACTGAAAATGAAATTGATTACAATTTTTTGACAAATTATTTAAACATGATCTCGATATGGATAAATATGACATATCACATAATTCTAATCACATTTTAAAATATCCTTTCTATCCTTTTTATGAATTCCAAAAAAAAAAATCGCATTTCCCAAAACTGTCATACAAATCAATTGACCAACCATTATTTACACACACACTTACATACATAAATATTGCATTACACAAAAACCTAACCCCTTACCTATTCATCTATTCCTTACAACATACTTTACCATTCATCCATCAATCCCTGCATTCATCTATTTAACTTTTGTCAATGGCGTGATGTGTGGCATCACCGCTACTGCTATCCATGTCCATTTTTTTCTTCCCTCCCTTTCTGTGTGTGTTTTCCGTTTCGTTTTTGTTTTTCTCTTCTTTTCTTCTCTCCAACAGACCGTTTTCGTGCCGATGATTTACTACAAGATTCACGTGAGGACTGTTATCTATCGACGCTGCACATCCATCATGCCACCGAACATGATGCACGTCCTTATTATCTGGTTGTGGAAAATGAACGTGGCACCGATCGTCATGCCATACAATTGAATGTGGAGGGTACGTTTACAGGTGCAGAAAAATCATGTTTTTTTACAAATTCTCTACATGTCTATGTGTGTGTGTCTGTATATGCCTGTAACTCTGTGTGTGTGTGTACTGCCTGTACTATCTATGTAGTAGTTGTGTATAAATTTTCTACTAACCATGCGATTTTCTTTGATTTTTTTTTCAAAATCCCTTTCTATGTGTGACACACAAACATACATAACTAACATATATTGTGTATCAGTGTGTGTGTTATATGGCGAGATTTTTCAAAGGAATTTTTTAATATACACACAATTGCACGTCTCCAGGATAATGCAACGCCATGGCATATCTATGAAACAAGCTCATATGAATATCATGACAAAGCATATAGAATGAATATATATGTATCTGTGTACATATATAATCAAGTAAACAAAATTTAATTAAGATATATTGTACGATAATAATATGAATATGAATAATTTTTCTTCGAAGTACAACAACAAAAAGAACAATTCTAGGTAGTTTAATTCCAGGAATTAAAGGAAAAAAGAAATGAAATAAAAAATAACTAATCGTAGGTTCGGCTACGACGAAAAAATGGGGTATGAAATTAAAGGAAGACTTTTGAACAACTGATGAGACTTATATGTAAATCGACGAAATATATATGACAGCTTTATCATAATCTGATTCTAGATTGCCAAATGATATGTGTACGGGTTGTTTTGACTTAGCCCCCTTACAGAGGTCTCGCCCCATTTTCGGCTTATAATTGTATCCTATAGATCGACTCGAAAAAACAAAGAAATATGATCATTAACGAAAATTATAGGTATTGTCCGTGATCATAACTGGAAAAATCGTGAAAAATTTCATAACGATCAGTGCTATATTTCCGCCCTCTAGTGTGGTAATGAGTTACTAAATAACATCTCAATACGTTAGCACCTGTAAGTATTTGAACGTTACTTCCACATCCGAGTATAATTTAAATGTTAACCGCACCTCTTGGATATACTATCAACTTCTCGGGTCCTTCATGTCCTTCAGGAGTAAATATATACGTCATAGAATACAAATTTTGTCATTTTTCACACAAAAGTCAGGGTATATTTGACCCGCTAAATAATGACCGATCTCTATCAAAACAGTCATGCTTATTCATTGGTCAGATCCCCTTCTTCATGCGGCCTCTGTAGCGGGCAGAAAAACCGACAAAAATGAAGTAATGGGTCCATCCCATCTTTGGGCCGATCCCATTCTCCATGCGCCCCTGGAGCGTGCAGAAAAACCGACAAAAATTAAGTATTTGGTCAATTTTCTTCCCCTAAATAGTAACCAATCTTTACCAAAAACAACATGCATGCCAAATTTCTGGAGGATTGGGCCATAACTGTTGCCCATATCGGGTTTCCGTCCGATTTAAAGTAAATGGTGCATCAAAGTCCCTATATATCTTTCGATTTGCACGAAATTTGGCAAAGCCTACTGAATTAAGTCTAGAACGATGTGCGTAAAGTTTCGTGAAAATCGGTTCAGATTTAGATATAGCTCCCATATATATTTTCGTCCGATTTAAGGTTAATGGGGCACCAAAGTCCCTAAAAATCTTTCGATTTGCACGAAATTTGGCATAGCGCACTGAATTAAGTCTAAAATGATGATTGGTGAGTTTCAGGAAAATCGGTCACGATTTCGATATAGCTCCCTTATACATTTTCGTCCGATTTAAGGTAAATGGTGCACCAAAGTCCCTAAATATCTTTCGATTTGCGCTAAATTTGGCATAGCGTACTGAATTAAGTCTAAAATGATGATTGGTGAGTTTCGTGAAAATCGGTTTTAGATATAGCTCCCGTATATATTTTCTTCCGATTTTATGTAAATAGTCCACCAAAGTCCCTTTGCATCTTTTGATTTGCACGAAATTTGGCATAACGTACTGAATTAAGCCTAGAATGATGTGTGCTAAGTTTCCCGAAAATCGGTTCAGATTTTTGTATAGCTCGGTCCAGTCCTACTTTTCTAGTTTCCTTATTGTTTTTTTTTTTTTTTTTTTTTTTTTGTCTATCTTCCCTCCTTTGGTTTAAGGTTTTTTTGGAATTTTTTTTTAATTAGCTCAGTTGATAAATAATTGTGTAAATATTCACTCAAAAGTGTTTAGAATTTGTTATTGAAATAATACACTATATAATTATATAAGAGTATTAAAATTCACCTACACCCAAACAGCATTTAACCTATTGTGGCCTAGCGTGTTTAACAGCACACGATTTTGTTACACCGAATTTAATCTATTTTAAGTGTTATGTGTTTTTAAAATAAAAATTGAAAATATCCATCAACATCAACAGGGGCGTAGCAAGAAACAAGATATAAGGGGGCTATCTCAAATAATCTTCAGAGGACCTATAGCATTTAATTTTTTGGCATCTTATCAATTACATATATTTCAATACCCTTCTAAAAAAAGATGCATTTGCTACGCCACTGCTATTACATCATGTCACTTTAAAATCTCATTGTATATATATACATATATATAATTATATGTATATATACATTCAGCTTTTTGTTTTATTCAAAAACGGCAATTAAAACAAAAATTTAGATATTTACTTAAATTCCCATACAAAAGATTATGACAATTATTTTTAAATATTATTTATTTTTGGAAAAACAAGCGCTTATTTTTATAATAGTTTATATAATAATGGTGTGTGTATATTTATATAACCTATTTCTGTGTTTAAATATGCAGAAAAACATATTGACAAAAATTTCCATCCCATGTTAATGCATTAGATTTATTTTCTAAAATTTATAATTTTGAGGTTTTTGGCGAAAATAGAGAGGTGTATAATTTCAAATTATGTGGATTTAATTTGATGGGTTAAATCAATATTATATCAATGTGTAATTAGATACTCATAAACACATTCACACCGAAATAAATTAATATTTTGGAAAAATAATTATTTTAATGGAAATAATTGGATGTTGGATGACGGAATACAACAAATTTTAAGGCATGGATTATTCAAGTCATATTTTTTCAAAGGCTATTCAAATAAAATATTTTTTAAATATTTTTTGTGTAACAAATTTTTTAAATATTTATTTAAAACCAGTGAGCGGAGCAGTATAGTCGGGCGGGGCCGACCATACGATACCCTACACAACTTCCATGAAAATCTAACTTTCTGTGGTTCTATATTCTGAGATTGGGCAATATTTCGCGATATTTGCACACTTTTGACTGGCTAGTGGTCAGTGTTACTAATAATCAGTACAGCCCCTCTACATACTTGTCCAGATTCCCTTCACCGTGGGTTGTGTTGTGATGTTCGGCTTTCGATTCTAAAAGTACAAATAATTAAGTTTTCGGTCCACTTCATCCGTAAAATTATTATCTGATCATCACCTAACATTTTAGGCGTTGTCCTTGACCATAATTGGAACCTCATGAAACTTTTCAAAGCGATCCGCGCTACATTTCCGCCCTTCAGTGTTGTAATAGGTTATTAAAAAATATCTGAATACGTAAGCACCTGTAAATATTTAAGTGTAACTCCCGCATCCGAGTACATACGACAATATAATTGGTATCAATTAAAAGATCAACCACTCCTCTTGGATATACTATCAACTTCTTGGGTCTTCGTCCTTCAGTGGTAAATATATACGCTATAGAATACAAATCTTGTCATTTTTCACACAAAAGTTAGGGTCCATTTGACCCCCTAAATATTGACCGACCTTTATCTAAACAAGCATGCCTATTCTCTGGCTCGATCCGCTTCTCCATGCAAAAATTCGCGGTGTTTGGGCCATAATTGCGGCCTCTGGAGCGACCAGAAAAACCGACAAAAATAATGTTTTTGGTCCATTTCATCCCCTAAATATTAACCGATCTTTTCCAAAATTTTTCCAACCCATCCTACATGCAAAATTTCGTGAAGATTGGTCCATAACTGTGGCCTGTATCGTGTTTACAAATTATAATGGACAGACGGACGGACGTACAGACATGTCTAGATCGACTCACCTAGTCAAGATATGACGATCGGTATACTTAAAATGGGTCTAGGACGAATATTTCGCGGCGTTACAAACTCTTGGGGCTGCAAAAAAGCTATAATACCCTGACAACATAGTTGTGTAGGGTATAAAAACCACTCCTTATTGGTGCCTAAAAATATTTATTTAAAAAAAAACACGCCTTATTGGTCCTCAACAAATATGTATTAAAAAACACGCCTTATACGTCCCTAAAAAATCATCTAATATGCCGCTTTATTATTTCTTGAAGAAATGTTTATTTAAAAAATCCACTACTTAATGGCTCCTTCTGTTTCTTCAAACGAAGTTCTTTCGAAAACCCCGCCTTAATGGTTGTTGAAAAAACATTCCAAAAAATCCAGGATCTATTGGTCCATGCAAAAAATATGTTCTTAGGAATACAATCCTTATTTATCCTTAAAAATCACGTCTTATTAAATCCTTAATTCTTAAAAATCCACGTCTTATTAATCCTTAAAAAAATATTCAGTTAAGAAATATTTAGTTAAAAAATATTTCTTGAAAAACTCATGCCTTATTGATGGGTCCTTGAAAAAATATTCCTTTAAAAATCCACGCCTTATTGATTGGTCCTTGCAAAAATATTTCTTTAAAAATCCACGCCTTATTGATTGGTCCTTGAAAAAATATTTCTTTAAAAATCCACGCCTTATTGATTGGTTCTTGAAAAAATATTCCTTTAAAAATCCACGCTTTATTGTTTCAATTTTTTTTTAATTGATCCCTGAAAAGAAATCCTTAAAATTAAAAATCCATTTTGAATTACTCCTTACAAATTAAAAAAAAGTCAAAGTGAATTTATTTAAGGAATATTTTATTATTGAAATAATTAATTATTACACCCTTCAATACACTGTAGTACAGGGTATTATGTCTTTGTGCATATGTTTGTAACAGGCAAAAGGAAACGAGATAGTCACATGTCCCTTTTGAGAATATGCATAGAATCACTTTCTAAGTCGATTTATGCATGTCCGTCCATCTGTCTGTCTGTCCATGTTAAATGTACAATGTACAGGTCGCATTTATGATCCGAATTGGATGAAATTTGGCAAAGGTCTCTTAATTGGCCCAAGGACTAACCCTATTAGAATTGGAAAAAATCAGTGCAGATTTAGATATAGCTCCCATACATATTTTCGCCCGATTTTATGTAAATGGTGCACCAAAGTCCCTATATATCTTTCGATTGGCACGAAATTTGGCACAACGCACTGAATTGAGCCTATAATGATGTCTGCCAAGTTTCCTGAAAATCGGTCCAGATTTAGATATAGCTCCCACATATATTCTATATTCTAGTCCCTATACATCTTTCGATTTGCACGAAATTTGGTATAGTGTACTGAATTAGGTCTAGAACGATGTATGCAAAGTTTCGTGAAAATCGGTCCAGATTTAGATATAGCTTCTATATCCGACCAAATGAAAAATTAAGTATCGGTAGCAGAAAGACATGTTTATGGATCGAATTTAATTTTATGGCCCTTTTAAAAATGCGACGTCTGTTAGGATTCATCTGTTTAATATAGCCAAAGTGGTGAAGGGTATCATATAGTCGGCCACGTCCGACTTTATTACTTTCCTTACTGATTTTTTTTTTTTTTTTTGTATATATTTGTTTCTTTAATTTCCAAGTCTTAACAATTAATGTTGTCGTAACAACTAATGTTATTTATTTTTTGTTTTTTTTTTTTTCTATAAATAATTGCATGTCTATAACATTGTCTGTCATATAACACAATAAATAACTAATTTAACCACACTTTCACATACATATGCATATTACATTTGTGTTTATAACTATGTGCGTGTATAGATGGGTATTAATAGAATAGTTTTTTTCTTCTTGTAATCATATTAAAAATTTTTTTGTTTTTTTTTTAATATTTTTTTTCATGCAACACAATGTCCTTTCGCCGATGATGATGATGACCATTTCACGCTCTCAATGACAATGCAACATTAATGATAATCTCATCTGATATGGTTACTATTTAACAACAACAACAAAATGGAAAACACGTGTCATCAATTTATGCAAATACCATCGACAACAACAATAACTACAATAACAAAACAACGCTCTTGGTGAATTAAATATAAATGCAATTATTCGAAAAAAAATACAATAACAATAACGACAACAACCAAACAATCGGCCAACCATCATCATCCTGAACCGAACTGCAAATGATGAAAATAACCCAAACGCATTTTAATGTTATTGATAATTACGAACATTTTTCTACTGACCTGGTTATTCTGCAAATACGCACGCACACTCACACAACGCATACCCACACATCTGCATAATGAAATGTATTTTGTTGTGCGACCACAGAACCACTGGAAATGAGTTATTTATTGGGCATTGCTGGCGGTTGTTTGGCTGCCCTACTACTGCTGATCTGTCTCTGCATCTATGCGATACGCATTAAAAAATGCTGCTTTAAGGGTAAGGATATTTTTTATACACCTTTCTTTTAAATATCTGAAAACCAATAGAAATATGTAATTAAATTTTAAAAATTATTTCTGCATTTAACCTTGCTTTTTCTCAAGCGGAATTATTTTCAGAACATTTATACACCTTTTTTTTAAATATCTAAAATCCAATAAAAATTAATAATAATTTTGTAAAATTATTTCTCCATTTATCCTTGATTTTTTCACCAAGAGGAATTCATTTCATTAAAATCTCTGATGAATTTTGGTATTTTCTTTTGTGCCATGGTCGGTAATTGTTAATCCATGAAAAATTCCTGTGGGGCCACAATAAAAGATGCAGGAATTTTAGTTGATGGCCATGTCACACAGAGAGCAAGAGATGCGTAAGGGATATACGAGAGACTCTCTCTGTGGGTGGTTTTAAGAATTATGCCGTTCAAAATAACGAAAAAATTAATTACATTATGGTTGGGAAATATTTTTACGGAAATTACACAGAAGTCAATGCAGAGGGTGGATTTATTAAAGAATATTTTTAAAGGACTAATAAAACGTATAATTTATAATTCAAGAACAATGTGTCGTATAAGTATTGACACAACTCATACGCACCCTACACTATAAACATAAATCATGAGATCTTAAAATGAGGAGTGGAATTTTAAAGAAATATTTTTCCAAGGATCACAAAAAAAAATTTTATAAGTAACAATAAGGAAATTTAAATAAATAATTTTTTTAAACCACTAAGGCTTAGATTTTTAAAGAAACATTTTTTTCAAGGACCCATCAACAAGGCATGGATTTTTAAAGAAATTTTAAGACCTCCATATGATTAACAAAGGCGTGGATTTTTAAAGAAATATTTTTTTCAAGGACCAATCAATAAGGCGTGGATTTTTAAAGAAATATTTTTTCAAGGACCAATCAATAAGGCGTGGATTTTTAAAGAAATATTTTTTCAAGGACCAATCAATAAGGCGTGGATTTTTAAAGAAATATTTTTTCAAGGACCAATCAATAAGGCGTGGATTTTTAAAGAAATATTTTTTCAAGGACCAATCAATAAGGCGTGGATTTTTAAAGAAATATTTTTTCAAGGACCAATCAATAAGGCGTGGATTTTTAAAGAAATATTTTTTCAAGGACCAATCAATAAGGCGTGGATTTTTAAAGGAATATTTTTTCAAGGACCAATCAATAAGGCGTGGATTTTTAAAGAAATATTTTTTCAAGGACCAATCAATAAGGCGTGGATTTTTAAAGAAATATTTTTTCAAGGACCAATCAATAAGGCGTGGATTTTTAAAGAAATATTTTTTCAAGGACCAATCAATAAGGCGTGGATTTTTAAAGAAATATTTTTTCAAGGACCAATCAATAAGGCGTGGATTTTTAAAGAAATATTTTTTCAAGGACCAATATTTTTTCAAGGACCAATCAATAAGGCGTGGATTTTTAAAGAAATATTTTTTCAAGGACCAATCAATAAGGCGTGGATTTTTAAAAAAATATTTTTTCAAGTAACGAATTTTAAATAATATATTTTCCCAAGGACTCTCATGGTATCGTATAAGTATTGTCACAACTCATACACGCCCTTTTCTCTGTGTATGATAGAAACAATAGGGTGTCGTATAAGTTTTAACACCACTCATACGTACCCTTTGACATATTTACTAGTTTGGTTGTTTACCAAGGCAAAATAACGCGAAGTTGACATAAATTATTATGATACTGTCGTATCAGCAAATGTTTGGTGATTATAATTCGCAGAAAAAAGTATCACTTCGTGCGAAGTAACAAAATCTTAAGTCAAACATTGCCAACTTATTTCATCAAGTTAATCAAGCAACTCTTTATTAGATCTTCTCTTCTTTACTTTAGTGCTATCTATCTCCACAAAAAAAAGAACGTTGTTGTTCTTTTTGTGGCTGGCTATTTCCAACTTAAATGGACAACGAAAATCCGGTTTGAATTCAAAACGGAAAGATAGAAACGGGAACCATTGGAGGTTTTCCCCAAAAAAAACTCCTTTACACTTTTTTGCTGTGACAGGACAATGACACCAGAGCTCGAAAAATGGCAAAACGAAGCAAAGCAAGAAAAACTCATCATTTATATTTTAAGTAAATTTAACAATGCCAATGTATTCATTGCTGGTCCTTTTTCCGCCGCGATTCTTTGTTTTTTTTCGCTGGTTTTTCTTCTGTTACTACTTCAAATGTCCTGTTTCTAGTTATTTTAATTAAAACAAAATAAATAAACCAAGTTAAAACGGGAAGGTACTGGGGTAAAAAGTGAAGTGCTTGCAAAGAATTAATAAGTAAAAAACTTTGTCAAATGTTGAGAAAAAAGAGAAGGGTTTATTGGCTATATTAGATTGTTTGCTTTTGCAGTTAATATTTAAAGGATATATATTTGAAGTGGCTATTTAATTATGTGCTAGAACACAAAGCGAATATTAAAATAAAAAATCTATTTATCTAAAAATATTAATTATAAATATGAACGCCAAGTACAATGTGGCGTATAAGTACTGACATGGCTTATACGCACCCTTTTCTTTTATTATCAGTTTGCAATAATATTTTAAGAAGAAGCGTGGATTACTTAATAAATATTTTCTTTTGGACTTATTTAGGCATGGATTTTTAAAGAAATATTTTTTCAGGGACTACAAAGGCATATTTTTTATAGATATATTTTTTCTAGGACAATAAAGGCCTGGAATGTTAACTGAAAGGCATGGCTTTTTGAAGAAATACTTTTCTGGGACTATAAGGCGTGGATTTTTAAAGAAATATTTTTTCAAGGCCTACTAAGGCGTGGATTTTTAATGAAATATTTTTTCAAGGCCTATTAAGGCGTGGATTTTTAAAGAAATATTTTTCTTGGACTATAAGGGCGTGGATTTTTAAAGACATATTTTTTATGGGACTATAAAGGCGTGGATTTTTAAAGACATATTTTTTATGGGACTATAAAGGCGTGGATTTTTAAAGACATATTTTTTATGGGACTATAAAGGCGTGGATTTTTAAAGACATATTTTTTATGGGACTATAAAGGCGTGGATTTTTAAAGACTAATTTTCATGGCCAAGAATAAGGCGTGGATTTTTAAAGACTAATTTTCATGGCCAAGAATAAGGCGTGGATTTTTAAAGACATATTTTTATGGGACTATAAAGGCGTGGATTTTTAATGAAATATTTTATGAGAGTACCTAGAAATATTTTATGAGAGTACCTAGAAATATTTTTTGAGAATACCTAGAGGGCGTGGAGTTTTCAAGAAATATTTTTTTCTGGGACTATAAACACGTTGATTTTTAAAGAAATATTTTTTCTGTGACTATAAAGGAGTGGATTTTTTTTTTTTTTTTTTTTTTGACCAATAAGGCGTGAATTTTTAAAGAAATAGTTTTGAGTACCAATAATGCGTGCATTTTTATATAAATATTTTTTCTTGGACTATAAAGGCGTGGATATTTTTATACCCTTCACGACACTGTGGTACAGGGTATTATGTCTTCGTGCATATGTTTGTAACAGGAAAAATTAATCGAGATAGACCCGTGGTTCCTTTTGAGAATATATATAGAATCACTTTCTGAGTCGATTTATGCATGTCCGTCCGCCTGTCCATGTTACATTGTAAACAAAGTACAGGTCGCATTTATGATTCAAATTGGATGGAAGTTGGCACAGCTCATTAATCTGGCCCAAGGGCGAACCCTATTGAAATTTGGAAAAATCGGTTCAGATTTAAATATGGCTCCCATATATATTTTCGTCAGATTTAAGGTAAATGGTGCACCAAAGTTCCTATATATCTTTCGATTTGCACGAAATTTGGCACAGCGTAATGAATTAGGTCTAAAATGATGTCTGCCAAATTTCCTGAAAATCGGTTCAGATTTATATATAGCTCCCAAATATATTTTCGTCCGATTTAAGGTAAATGGTGCACCAAATCCCTAAATATTTTTCGATTTACACGAAATTTGGCACAGGGTACTGAATTGAGCCTAAAATGATGTCTGCTAAGTTTCCCGAAAATCGGTTCAGATTTATATATAGCTCCCATATATATTTTCGTCCGATTTAATGTAAATAGTTTACCAAAGCCCCTATATATCTTTCGATTTGCACGAAATTTGGTACAGCGTACTGTATTGAGCCTAACATGATGTCTGCTAAGTTTCCTGAAAATCGGTTCAGATTTAGATATAGCTCCCATATATAATTTCGTCCGATTTAATGTAAATGTTGTATCAAAGTCCCTATATATCTTTCGATTTGCACGAAATTTGGCTTAGCGTAATGAATTAGGTCTAGAATGATGTGTGTTAAGTTTCCTGAAAATCGATCCAGATTTAGATATAGCTCCCATAGATATTTTTTTTGCGTCCGATTTAAGGTAAATGGTGTACCAAAGTTCCTATATATCTTTCGATTTGCACGAAATTTGGCACAGCGTACTGTATTGAGCCTAAAATTATATCTGCTAAGTTTTCTGAAAATCGGTTCAGGTTTAAATATAGCTCCCATATACATTTTCGTCCGATTTAAGATAAATGGTGCACCAAGGACCCTATAAACCTTTGGATTT